TGTTGTCGTCGTCATCATTGTCGTCCACCAATTTGATAAAAGCTGTTTCAGATAAGTTCATCTCTGCTGCAATCTTCTGTAACACATCATCTGATAAGTTCTGTGATGAGTTCAGTAGGGATGTCATTCATTCATTCATTCGTTTGTTTGTTTTTTCATTCATTCGTTCCTTCATTAATTAATTAATTAATTCAATATTTCATTCATTTCTTCGTACATTCATTCATTCCTTCAATCTATAAAATCATCCAGCCTAGTGCATAATTTGTTGTTCGGTTCCAAGCGATACAGTTTCTAACCGTACCCATACATTTTGTGTGAACGAGAAGGGGCAAAAATAAAATAAGGTAGAAAAAGAAAGAATTGAAAGAGAGACAGAGAAAAGAGAGAGAGAGAAGGAGAGAAAGAGAGAGGGAGAGAGAAAGTAGTTTGAGTATGATAAAGAGAGAGAGAGAGAGAGAGAGAGAGAGAGAAAGAGAAAAAAAAAGAAAAAAAAGAAAAAAGAAAGAAACTGAAAGTGAGAGAGTGCGTGTTGTTTGACTTTGGTGTACATTTTAAGGAGGCGTGAAGAACTAATTGAATTGATCGGCAGAATGCTTGGCAATCAATCCAGCCCTGCGAAATCTTATTCTCACCACAGCCTTCTTTGTGTGTTGTATGTGTTTTTGTATAGATGTATGTGTGTTTGTATGTGTGTATCTCTATTTGTAAGTTTGTATGCATCTCTGTGTATGTTTGTAATGTAAGCGTTTCTTCGTTTGCGTGTAGGTAGGCGATGGTTTTATTTGGTTTTTGTATGCTTTTTAATAGGTGTTTGTTTGTTTGTGAGTGCGCGTGTGTGTGTGTTTTTGTGTGTGTGTACATGTGCGTGTGTGAGCGTGTGTGAGCGTGTGAATTTTCCGTCCGTCCAATCGAGCAAAAGTTAATTGGCATCCACTCGATCCAATTTTTTGTTAGTGAAAAATGGCCTAGATGTGCCACAAACACTCAATAATATTAATTCAGATGAACTTTTAACATTGAACTTTTACCCCGCAAAAATATTTTTATTTGTGACGTAATGACGAGAGAGAAGCTCGCTATTGAGGATGAACAACTGTTCATGCTGTTCACACCTTTTTAATAAAATAATGGTACTTTACTAATTGAAGGGGTGTTCAAGATGTGAATATTGAATGCATTGTACGTACTGCATGTAAATGTACATACAAAGGTATGTGTACACACACACACGCACATACACGCACATACACAACCCACACATGTGTATTATTTTGTTTGAGGAATGTGTGGAAACAAAAACATTTTCCAAGTTTGTGTGTGTTTGTTTTTGTTTTTCAAACAAAGCATGTACGTGCTATATACCAGAGTGATCGTTTTGTGTACATATTTCCATACAAACAAACAGACAGACATAGATACAAACAAACAAAAATACAAACAAACCAAACAAACAAAAATACAAACAAACCAAACATACAAACAAACAAATATACAATCAAACTTTCCCACCTACCCACATACAAGACAATAATTGTATAGCAGTTTGTCTCGCAGGTTTATACCCAATAGCTAGCTACGACTATCCTTTTTGCATTTTTAAAGGATCTTTTTTTGACGTAAAGCCTATGATTACCAAAGATGTAATATCACTACTTATACTACTACTACTACCACCACCACAACTACTACTGCTGCTGCTGATACCGCTACTACAACCACTTCTACAACTACTACCATTACCATTGTTGCTGATACTACAATAAAAACATCAACTACTACTACTACTACTACTACTACTACTACTACTATTACTACTACTACTACTACTACTACTACTACTACTACTACTACTACTACTACTACTACTACTACTACTACTACTACTACTACTACTATTGTTGTTGGATAATCGTAGTCATCATCAGCAACACCAACATCACAATTATCATCATCATCACCACCTCAACCATAATCACAACCATCATCATCATCACAACCATCACAATCATCATCATAACCTTATTTCCTACTAGGCAGACGGCCGCGGGATTTCCCCCGAAGGCCAGGTCAGTGAATGCGTGGACGATGTACACTGGGAATTCCAACATTATCTATTTTTAGAAATTCAAATAATAATAATAATAATAATGATAATAATAAATATAATAATGATATTATTATTATCACTGATTGCAAAATAATATTTATTATTTTTAATAAATATCTATAATTTAATTTTTTTGTAAGGAAATGTAAGCAATATACTTAAGTTTGTAACTTATATATACATACATACATACATGTATGCATTCATACATACATACATACATACATACATACATACATACATACATACATACATACATACATACATACATACATACATACATACATACATACATACATACATACATACATACATACATACATACATACATACATACATACATACATACATACATACATACATACATACATACATACATACATACATACA